TACGGCCACTGCAGGTACCTCATCTAAGAAGACTCATATATTTCCCTTTTCTGTCTGTTGTTTCAAATAAGATCACACGTTCCAGTCCCATCTATGATGTCGCATATTCAAACCCTCTTTCCATTTTCTGCCTATATTTATTTTCTTTTGTGGGCACATGGCACATTTTCTTTATCCACATGCTTATCCGTGGATGTCTGGGTTGGGTGTGTCTATGGTAACACTTTCGTGGATACTGGTGGGCAAGTGTGTTTTGAGTCCCTGTAGTGGAATTGTCAGTCTGCCATGATGAGCTGCTGTGGAACACCAGGCACGTATTCTTTGAAATCATCCTTTCTGACATGCACTTCCGGCCCCTGGCCTCTCCTAGCCTCGTTCCTTGCTACAGTGTCAGTCTGAAGTGAACCCAAAGGTCCGTGCAGTAAAAGTGTATTCTCTAGAGTGTTGCTATTGGGAGGTGGTGGGAACGTGTGAGGGCGGAGCCTAGTGAGAGGTCTTCCATCTCTGGGGGTGTGGCCTGGAAGGGGAAGGGGACAATAAGACCCTCTTTTCCCTATCCACAAGGGGGACGGTTTTGCTCTGCCCTGGGTTCCCGCCACAGTGTGCAGCCTCATCCCAGATGGGAAGTGATGATGCCAATTGATCCTGGGCTGGGACCCCTACAAGAACGAGCTAGAAGAACCTTTCTTTTTAGAGGTTAATTAGCCAGGTGGTTGTGATGGTGTTGGGAAGTTGAAAGGTGTCATGTCCTCTCTGGGACAGTGGCTCTGTGTGCTGCTTCAGCGTACCTGCCAGCCTGAGACCACACAATCATGGCTTCTGTGCATCTCCAGGGAGTCCAGCAGCATGTGGCCTGTGTCTACACCTAGCACTGTGCACTCTTCACAGCAGAGTTTTGAGTGGCCTTCGAGGGGCCATTCTCCCCTAATCTAGGGTTGAGCAACTTACAAATACAGGGAAGCTGTTAGGCCCACAACTTTTGGGTAAACATGCTCTGTTTTATTCTTGAACTTGTCAGGCTTGCTGGGGCCCTGCTGGTGGGAGAAAAAGTCCATCCATCAGGCTTCGGTCTCCAGAGGCCAGGCCTTTGTTTCAGGTCAGGAAGGTGAAGAGTAAAGCCAGAACTTTGCCACTTTTATTATCTACCTATGTCTCCTCTCCTTACCCCATCAGGATTCGAACACAGGGCCATCTCACTGGCCCAGGTTTAACCTTTCAGCGGCATTTGTACATTCACATGGACGTGCGGCTTCCTGTGGTTTGGGAAATACCGCCATTAATGGCCAAAAGAGATTTTGTCTTTCTAAATACCAAATGATGTTTACCTTCAGGAGGCAGACTGCCCTGGAGCCTGTGCGTCCAGGAATCTGCAAACAGGAAGGAGGCAGCCGGGGCTGCAGAGCCGTGCCCGCAGAGCCGTGCCCAGGCCACATGGAGCTCGGGGCCGGCGTGTTCTCTCCCTCCCTCCCACCTTCTCCTCCCTTTGCCTCCCCGGACCCGGAGCCCAGTCCTCAGAGGTTGTTCACCTCTTCTCTGAGGTGTCAGCGTGGCCTGGATGCCTGCAGAACCAATCACCCCGTGAACTGTTCTAATTAATTCTACCTTCTGTCCGATGGGGTAGGTGCAAAGCGACACGGAAGAGTTGGAGCTGGAAGCTTGTTTTGATTTTCTTTTCCCCCTCTAAGCATCATTGTTTTAAGCTCTGAACTTGTGAGGTTTTGTTTTATTGTCATTTCAGAGAGGGGAGATTTCAGAGCGCACCTCCACAGCTGGCACTTAACCCGGGGTCACGGTCAGCTTAGGCATCAGGGTGGCCATCAAGAAATGTAGTTTCTGCCCTCAGCTTTACTGTGAACCAGAGGCAATGGTGATTTCTAGAAATTCAGCCTCCTGCAGGACTTGGTGGCACAAGCCTTAAACCCCAGCACTCTAGAGGGTAAGGGTAGGAGGAGC